AATGATGAAGATCAAAGACCAGTCTTTGGTATGGGTTGTACCCCAGTGTAAAGAAAACAAAAATCCTTACGACAGGTCCAATAAATAACTTCAAGATATATAGAGAAAAGATTGAAGTTGTCAAAGACTTCATTTTGTTCAGATCAACCATTAACACTCTTGGAAGCAACAGTTAAGAAATCAAGTGACGTATTACATTATGCAAATCTGTTGCACAAGACCTCTTTAAAGTGTTGAAGAGCAAAGATGTCAGTTTGAAGACAAAGGTGCACCTGACCCAAGCCATGGTATTTTCAATAACCTCATATGCATGGGAAAGTTGGACAGTTATTAAGGAAGACTGTAGAAGAATTGATGCATTTGAGCTATGGTGTTGGAGGAGAATATTAAAAGTACTTTGGGTTGTTGAAAGAAGTACAGTCAGAATGCTCCCTGGAAGCCAAGATGGCCAGACTTTGTCGCTCATACTTCAGACATGTTATCAGGAAAGACCAGTCTCTGGAGAAGGACGTCATGTTTGATATATTGGAGGGTTGGAGAAAAAGAGAAAGATTCCCAGTGAGATGGACTGGCACAGTTGCTGCAATGATGGGCACAAATGTAACAACAGTTGTGAGGTTGACACGGTACTGGGTGGTATTTCATTCTGTTGTGCATAGGGTTTCTGTGAGTCAGCACTGACTCAATGGCACCTAACAACAACAACAAGGGCAGGGTTAAGAAGGAATGAGAAGATGGATGGAATGTAAATAGAACAACAGGAAGAAGTGGTGGGATAACTGTTGTTGTATGGAAGGGATTGCAATCATTGAGATCTTTGAGATGTGTATGATTTCTTGAACTGTAAATCTTTACTCAGTTCACAATAAAAAGTTACAAAAAAAGTAAGATATAGCACTGGCTCTTAAGTGTATGAAAAGATGTTTAACTTTTAATGTGATGAATGCACATTAAAGTTCACTTAGATATATACCATTCTCACCTCTTATGTTAGCAGTATTTATAAAGGTTTTGAAAACACTTTGGCCAGGTTGCAGGAAATGCTGTTGTTGCATGCCATCGAGTTGGATCAACTCATAACGACCTGTATAGGGTTTCCAAGGAGTGGCTGGTGAGCTTGACCCGCTGACCTTGCAGTTCAAACTAACCTCACAGTCCAGCGCATTAACACACAGCACCATACCAGGACTGCATTGTTATATATAACAGATGGCAACGCAAAATGTTGTGACCATTATGGAGAAAAGCTTGACAATTAGATACATACACGTGCTTGGACTTGGCAATCCTATTACTTAGAGGAATTTACCTTAAAGATCAACCTTCAACAATATGAAATACATTTTTACAAGATTATTCATTGCATCAATATTTGTTCCTAAGAAATTGACAGTAATCTAATGCTCATATACTCGGGAACTTCAACAAGTCTGTGGAAAAGGGAGTTGAAAGATAATGGAGTTTTCCAGGAACTTTTTGGAGCACCCTCATGTAGTCAATTGGTTGAGGACATTATGTTACATGTTCCCAGTAGATTTCTACAAAGCTATAAAAATCAATAGGGACGAGACCTCTGAACTGATGTGGCATGATTTCTAGCTTGTGAAAAAAAACACAAATCCATAGAATATTAAAAAGAGAGAGAAGAAAATTACAAATCTAACTTCTAGAGTTAATAGAGGAAGTTTGCAGAGTTTCAGGGTATTACTCAACAAACCAAAAATCAGGTGGGTATTTTATACACCTGCAATGATAAGTCTGAATGAGAAATTAGGGAAACAATTCAATTTATAATAGCATCTAAGAGAATAAGACACCTAGAAATAAATTTAACCAGGGATGTGAAGGACTTTTATGATAAAAATTATTGCAAGACTTATTATTGATAAGCTGTCAATACTACCTAAAGCAACCTATAATTCAATAATTCTAATCTAATAGCCTTCCTTACAGAAATGGATTAACCAATCCTCAACTTTATATAGAATGGCAACAGGCCCCTGACTAGCTAAAGCAGTATTGAAAAAGAGCAAAAGGAGGACTCAAACGCCCCAATTTTTAAACATACTATACAAGGAGCTCTGGTAGCATAGTGGTTACGAATCAGGCTGCTAACCTTAGGGACAGCAGTTTAAAACAACCCATTGTTCTGCGGGAGAAAGATGAGGCTTTCTGCTCCTGTAAAGATTTACAGCCTCAGAAACCCTGTACAGGGTCGCTATGAGTCGGAACCGACTCCACAGCACATAACTACCACCACCATACAGCAACAGTTATCAAAACAACCTGGCACTGGTAAAAAACAATAGATGCATTATAAAAAGAGCATAGAGGCAGCATCTGACCTTCTCTGACTTCACAAGGGGTAACAAAAATCAAATTCAACATCAACCCAAGACGGGATTCCTATGAGGTAGAAGTCAGACATGCTTCCAACCTCCAGCCTCCAACTTTCTTTACCAGAAGATATTCAGATGGCCACCAAACACATGAAAATATGCTCAATATCATTAGCTTTTAGAGATACACAAGTCAAAACCACAGTGAGATACCACTCCAATTAGGATGGCTGAGATAAAAAAGCAAACAAAACAAATGTGCATAAAGATATAGGGAAACTGCAACCCTTATCTATTTACTGGTTAAAATGCAAAATGGTACAGCCATTCTGCAAAGTAGTATGTTGGCTTCTCAAAAAATAGAACTACCATATGACCTAGCAGTTGCATTTTTTGGTAGTATTGGTATGTAAAATGTTGCAAGAAATGTAAATGCCCATCAATTGATAAACAGATAAATAGGATGTAGTATATACATATAATGAAGAGCTCTGGTAGCTTAGTGGTTACAAACTGGGTTGCGAACCGCAAGGTCAACAGTTTGAAACTACCAGCTGTTCCGTGGGAGAAAGATGAGGCGTTCTGCTCCCATAAAGATTTACAGCCTCGGAAGCCCTGTACAAGGTTGCTATGAGTTGGAACCGACTCCATGGCACACAGCCACCATCATATGAAATACATTTTTACAAGATTATTCATTGCATCAGTATTTGTTCCTAAAAAATTGACAATAATCTAATGCACATACACTAGGGGACTTCAAAAAGTTTGTGGAAAAGGGAGTTGAAAGATAATGGAGCTTTATACATATAATGAAATACATATAATGAAATACTACTCAGTCAGTAAGAGAAATGAAATCTTCATGTTGTTATTATTAAGTGCTGTTGAGTTGGTTATGACTCATAGTCACCCTGTATGTACAGGGTTTCTAAGGCTATAAATTTTTGTGGGAGCAGAAAGCCTCATCTTTCTCCTGCAGAGTGGCTAGTGGGCTTGGAACTGCCAACCTTGTAATTTCAGTCCAGTGCTTATCCTATAGAGCCATAGGGATAGAGGTTGAAGACATTATACTGAGTGAAATAAGTCCGTCTTAAATGAAAAATATTGTATGAGTACACTTACATAGAAAAGTAAGGAAAGAAATTTATAGAGGCCAAAGTTTATTAGTTATTGCCAAGGACGGGGGGGAGGGGGAGAAGTGAATGTATAATGAAATCAACTACAAAGCAAAAAGAGGGACTAGTATAGATACAGAACATCCAAATAGCAAGAAAGATTAAGTAGATTTCAAGATAAAACAGACTGTTTTAAGCCAGGAAAAAATGTATAAATTACAAGGCAACCACAATGAAAAATAACACACTCGCACATCAAAATTTTTAAAAAGGGGGAAATCAGAAAGTTTTAGTAAATATTGGAGTCCTGGTGTGATGCTGGACTGCAAGGTCAGTTTGAACCCTATACAGGGTCACTATGAGTCAGAACCGACTCCATGGCACACAACCACCACCAGCATCATGACACTTAGCAACGACCCAACAGAAATGAAAATGAAAGAAAATCCTCAAACAAAAGGTACTCAGCCTAGAAAATTATATGGAACAAAGAATCCAGCAGCACTGCACCACACACACACACACACCACAAAGAAAAACAACAGCAATCAATTCATACCTCCTGATAATTATACTGTATGTAAAGGGACTGAATGTACCAGTCAAGAGACATAATGAACAGAATGGATAAAAAGCAGGATCCTTCAATATGCTGTCTATAAGAGACATCTCAAAAAGATGGAGTCAGCCTAAATGCCCATCTACAGAAGAATGGTTAAACAAACTTTGGTACATACACACAATGGAATACTACAAAATGTTGAAGAATAGTGATGAATCTGTGAAACACCTCACAACATGGTTGAACCTGGTGGGCATTATGCTGAGTGAAATTAGTCAATGACAAAAGGACAAACATTGTTTGAGGCCAATTTTGTAAAAAGTTAAAAAAATGTTTTCTTGATAAAAGAAACAATCTATGATGGTTACAGGGGGTGGGAGAGGAAAAATTATTCATGGGCTAGAGTATAGACATGTTAACAGTAGGGCAGGCATTGTACAAGAGGGAGGCTAGTAGAGGAAAGATGAAGGTAGCGGAAGACACAGGAAGGAATGCAGTAGTTAGAGTGAATAGAGAAAAATACTGACAACTATTGGTATGTGGAAGGGATTTGAATCATGTAATGAAGCAGAGTATATGATTTGTTGAATGTAAAACTGATAATCTGCTCTGTAAACCTTCACTCAATTCACAATAAAAAGTTGAAAGGGAAAAAATAAACCACACACACAGAGAACCCTGGAAAGAAAATAAGAAAACCAAAATTATTAGTAGAAAACAATTTGTGTTGTATATATTATCAAGTACAAGTGTGGCCATAAGATAGTTGTTAGTTGTCAAGTCAATTCTGAATCATTGTGATCCCATAGGGGTTTCAGAACTGTGATCTTTAGAAAGCAGATCATAAAGGCTATGTTCTGATCTATCAACCTTTTGGCTAGTTGTTGAACATTTAATTGGGCCACCCAGGCACTATTGCAAGCCAGAACAACTCAGGCAACCCCACTATGGCTACTCTAACAGAAAACTTTCTCTTTTCAGCAGAATCGAAGCCAGAAATCTACCCCAGTTCCTCCTGCCTTCTGGCGTTCCCCTGTCAGCAATTCCTCAGCCAGCACATGCTTCAAATCTTCCCAGGCTTCTGTGCAGACAACCACTTCCAGCCAGGGGATTCCAGCCCAGGGCATCAGAAGCAGCCGGAGCAGCAGGATTGGGAGCCAAGCTGCTGGAGTGAAAACACAGAAGGTCAAGAGACAGAAGATGTCTCCAAACCCTCGTGTGGGAGCACAGGGGGCAGAGAGCCCTGGGGGACACTCTCCAGCCCTGCCCAAAGTCAGTCAGCAAGCCCTAGAGGAGGCAGCACAGTGGGAGGACTAGAGCCCAGCTCAGCCCCAAGGGGGAACTCTGAGGAATTACCAACCTCAGGATTTGGAGCAGTCAGCTATGGAGAGGATAGATCAGACTGTGGGCTGAAACCAAACTTCTTCACAAACCAGAGGTCCCTCTTCCGGGAGAAGCCCTATGTTTGTAGTGAGTGTAGGCGAGGCTTTAGCCACAAGTCAGATTTCATCAGACACCAGAGGACACGCTCAGGTGAGAAGCCTCATGTTTGCAGTGTGTGTGGCCAAGGTTTTATCCAGGAATCAAATCTCCTTATGCACCAGGGGACACACTCAAAGGAGAGGCCCTATGGGTGCCTGGAGTGTAGGCGAGACTTTAATGAAAAATTAAATCTCATCAGGCGCTGGAAGACACACTTAGGTAAGACACCTTCCTTGTACCTGGAGTGTGGACATGGCTTTAGCCAGGAATCAAGCCTCCTTATGCATCAGAGGATACACTCAGGGGAGAAACCATATTTGTGCAAGGAGTGTGGGCGGGGCTTTAACCGGAAATCACGTCTCCTTATACACGAAAGGACACACTCTGGGGTGAAGCCATATATATGTGAAGAGTGTGGGCGAAGCTTTAGTCACAAGTCAACTCTCAAGAGACACCAGAGCACACACTCAGACGAGAATCCTTACATGTGTTTGGAGTGTGGCCGATGCTTTACCCAGAAATCTGCCCTCCTTATGCACCAAAGAACACACACCGGGGAGAGGCCTTATGTTTGCAGTGAGTGTGGCCGAGGCTTTACCCAGAAGTCCGGTCTTCTTTATCACCAGAAGACACATTCTAGGGTGAAGCCACATGTGTGCAAAGAGTGTGGACGAGGCTTTAGCCAGAAATCAACTCTTGTCAGACACCAGCAGACACACTCAGGTGAGAAACTTTACATGTGTCTAGAGTGTAGACGAGGTTTTACTGAAGAATCAAGTCTCCTTAAACACCAGAGGACACACTCAGGGGAAAAGCCATATGTGTGCAAGGAGTGTGGACGAGGCTTTAATTGGAAATCACATCTCCTTATACATCAGAGGACACACTCAGGAGAGAAGCCATATGTGTGTGAAGAGTGTGGGCGAGGCTTCAGCCACAAGTCAACTCTTATTAGACACCAGAACACACATTCAGGTGAGAAACCTTATGTATGCCTGGAGTGTGGCTGAGGCTTTCGCCAGGAACCAAGCCTCCTTATACACCAGAAGACACACTTAGGTGAGAAACCTTATGGGTTCAAGGAATGTTCGAGAGGCTTTAACCAGAAATCACTTCAGGGAAGATGCTACCTGTGTGCAAGTAGTATGGACAAGGCTTTAACTACAGGTCAGATTTCATCAGACACCAGAGGACATACTCAGATGAGAAACCTTATGTGTGTGTAGAATGTACACGAGGTTTTAGACAGAGGTCAGACATCAGAAGACACACAGAGATAAGAAGTCTTATGTTTACAGTGAGTGTGGCTGAGGCTTTAACTGTAAGTCACGCCTTCTGATGCACCAGAGAACACAGGGTAGAGGCCATATGTGTGCAAGGACTGTAGACCTGGCTTTAACCAGAAATCAAATCTCATCAGACACCTGAAAATACACTCAGATGAGAAGTCTTATGTTTGCAGTGAGTGTGGACAAGGCTTTAACCACAAGTCATCTCTTACTACACACCAGAACACACACGCAATTGAGAAACCTTTTGTGTGTCTGGAATGTGGCTGAGACTTTAGTCAAAAGTCAGGCCTCCTCTTCCACTTGGGGACATACTCAGGGGAGAAGCCACACATGTGCAAGGAGTGTGGGTGAGGCTTTAGCTGTAAGCAAAGCCTCATTAGACATCAACACACTCATTCAGGAGAAGCCCTATGTTTGTAGTGAGTATGGGCAAGATTTAGTCTGAAGTCAGACTTATCAGAATCAGAAGATGTGCTCAGATGAGAACTATTCTTTTTGAAGTGAGTAGCCAAGACTTTAACTGTAAGTTACTCTTCACAATCAGAGAACACACGGTAGAAGCTCTGTGTGTGCAAGGAAGATCTGCAAGAATTTTAGGGAAAGACACACTTTGTTAAACACCAGAGAACAGCGATTTTGGAGGGAGGAGTATTTTGTGGGCTGGAGAAGGTAAGGTGCTTTAAAAGTAATACCTCCTCTTGCACCAGAGAACAGGCTTGGGAGAAGAGCTGTGTGGACAGGTCAGTGGATGAACACTATGCCAGTGTCCCCTCCTCAACTGACTGCAGAAGACAAAGTTTGCTACCCCAAATCACTACTTCAACTACGTCTGAGAGCATTTCAGGAGTTTTCTGACTACTTATACTCTGTATGAGGGTGAAGGTGTCAGTAGTAACTAACTAGATGAGTTTTTCCACATTTTGTAACCAAATGGAATGGAAAATTAGAAGGCTTTGTTTAAGTAATGTAAGAATGGTTGCTTTTTTTCTACATACTTTGTTGTCCATTTGTTGTAGTAAAGCATTTCTAGTAAACTGTAACTCAGGTTGTGTTACTCATCTACCCTGAAAGGAACATGGAATTCTAATTCACAATCCATGTTTCTTGAATGAATTCAACCCAAAAGAAAAAATTATCAGAGAATCTGATTTGTTGCATCAGAGGGGAGTGATCTAGGATTTGGAGACAGATGGCAGGTGAAGGGAGGTAATGCCCCACATCTACAGGAGCTGGATTACTTCTCCTAACTGATCACTGCTGTCTGTAACTGTGTTCTTCAGTTGGCTTTAGTGACAGCTCTCTTCCCTGGAGTTTTTTTTTTTTTTCATTACAATGAATCTTTACTTTTAAGTGATTACATGTACATTAATACAATCAACAAGTTCTTCTTTTCTAAGATCTAGCAGTTTCTGTTGAGACACTAAAAATAGCCCAAGCTAGACTACTACAGGTATCCTCCACTCTGAGAAAGTTTGATCAATGACACTTTACATTTGCAAATACCTACATCAGTGCCTATTTTCACTTAAAAGAAAGAAATCAAAAAAGGATTTTTGCTTTTATTTATTTATTTTAAATAAATAGGGGAAGCAAAACTGGCAGTGTTTTCCAGTCAGCCCTTCACTAGACAGCATGTACCCCAATCAGCATAGTGGCACCACCAAGCCCCTACCCTGAGAACCACACTCAGCAGCTTCTCAGCATCAATCCAGCACAGTTTTGGTCTGTAGAGGTGAACACTACGTTTGTGTGATTTTAGGTTTTCTGGGTACAATTTGGTAGACTATTTTTGAGGGGGTCTGGGAAGGCTCAAAAAGTTTTCCCATATAAATTATTAATAATTGTCTCTTCTGTTTATGCCATCTCAGTTTATGAAAGTTTCACAGGAACACTCTACTTTTGGAAAGTGGAGGAAATCTGTATTTATCATTCTAATCCTTAAACGAAGAATTCTTTTTAAGGCTGGCTGCTGTTCAAACAAGTTACAAAATAGCTACTTACTACTTTTTCATTGATAAAGCCCCTGACCTTCAAGAAAGCTTTAGGGAAATGAAATATTTAACCCATTTGTTTCTTAAAGAAATTTTTTAATCCTAAATATCTAATAAAGAAAAGTCATATGGCTATATATGTTGCTTCAGCTAAAAAGCATAGGAAAAGTGTATACCCATTAAATGTGTACGAAATACGAGGTAAAGGGATGAGATCTCTGGATAAACTCTAAGTCTATACAAAGTACTAGGTTTGCTCCTCTGCAAAAAGTGAAGGATCCTAACATAACATACAGGAAAATGTAATGCTGTCTCACAAGAGTAAAAACTCTAGCTTTGCTAAAGCTTCTTATTCCATGTGACAACATCTAAAATGCCAATCCATGGAACAGATGTGTTCTTCTTCCCTATCCATTGAAGCAGTAGTTTTCACGGATTTCTGGTCGGATTTTAGAGACAAAGTTCAAGAGCTTATCCAGGACGTCATCCCTGTTCTGCCAGAAGTAGGTGTGGAGGACAGTCATCTTCTCCTGGGTCTCCTTCTCCACTTCAGTGCTGCAGCTGCCATGAGATCCCAGAGCCACAGCTTCCTTGGCCTTGAACTCATTCTCCCTTTGCAGGCAGTACTGTTCAATTTCAGCCTGCGCTGCTGCTTTGGCCTGCTGCACTCTCCGGTTCTTTCAGTTATCAAAAGAAATAAATGGCTCACAAAATGGTGGAAGCTGGCCAGTCCCAAATCTGTAGTTCAGAGATCGGTCTGGAGGATTCTTCTCACCTATGTAGTCTCAGGAGCTGAGGAACCCAAAAAGCTCACTGGTGTTCCTTGATACTTTCTAATATCTATTCAGGTGTCCTGACTCTTTCTCCACCCATAGAAGTATTGCTGTTTCCTTATGCTCCATTCTCATTCCTAGCTCCAGGGTCCTTTTAACTACCCACTTACCCTTGCCTTGAAATCAGCTATACAGAGCCTTCCAGATTCCAGGGTCAGATCCTGAAACTATGCTGAACCGGTTCTCCAGTCTTATTGCTTTGGGCCTCTTGGCTATTTTCCATGTCAGGACAGCAATGAGAGTTCAAAAGACGCCTAAATACATAATACCTGGTGTAAGGACCTTTATCCATGTTCCCTCTGACTCTAGGACCCAGTTCTGCTAGCAACACTCCCATATCTTCCTAGTAACTGCCATATCACCTCCGCTGTTTTTCATCCCAATGACCTGGCCCCTTAGCCACAGCCCTCTCTAATGTTCCTTTCCTTAGGAGCCCAAATGGCCAAGATTTTCATGATCCTGCGTGTCTGGCTCTTCCGTAGTGTCCTAGGGCAGTAACTATTTACTGGAGAGGGCTTGCTTAGCCAAACTGTTGGCCCAGTTGGGGTTTGTTTGTCAGGTAAACAGAATGAATATCAGACTTTGAGAATCAGATAAAGCAGAGTGTTTTTGACATCCCATCAAAGCAGGACATGGGAAAGTGTCAGGGAGTGTCTGACCCCACAGCCTCTACCTGTTCTCCCTGACCTTGAAGTCAGCTTTCCAGAGGACCCTGAGTTCGTTCAGGTGGGGACAGATGAGGAGTGCACCTGGAAGTGTGGGCCTCCATCTTTTGCCATTTTTGTTCTAATATCACCCCATAAGACCAACGCACTGTGTTTGGTCAGAACTGGGACACAAAAGGAATGTTTGTATGGATATGTAATCTCTAGGGGCTTGAGGAGGGAGGTTTCCAGGTAACCCAAGTCTCCTTTGCTGCCGATGAATAATAAATGCAGTCAAGAAAACCTTGCTTGAGATAAAAAGCATGGAAATAAAGGCCACTGGATATAGAAGATTAAAAGGTGACTAGAGAACCCAGGACTAGAGAAAGGAGATTTGAAATTCTTAGTGCATAAGTAGTATATTAAAGTCCTGAGACTGAATAAGGTTCATTTATTCGTTCAGCAAATTTGTATTGTCTTTATTTTGTGCTTAGCATTGTTCTAGGCACTACAGCTATGGACATTACATGAAAACTCTTACCCTCATGGAGTTTATGTTCTAGTGGTGGTTGAGAATGACAATAATAACAATAAGAAAAATACATAGTGTTTCCAGTTGTTGTGGAGCTGATTCCTAGTCATAGTGACTTTTATTTAAGGATGGAGTAGCCTTACAGCATAGTTTCCAATGTTATAATTTTTCTGGACGCTGACTGCTACACCTTTCTCTTACAGAGTACCACCAAGCCATCTTTCACAGTGTTTGTTTTGTCGTTAAGTGCTGTCGAATAGGTTCTCACTCCTAGCGGCCCTTTTTAGGGTATCCAAGGAACAACTGGTAGGTTTGAACTGCCTACCTTGTGGTTTTCAGTCTAGTGCTGATTCTACAGTGCCACATCAGGAAACCATGTAGTGTTTGGATGACAATAAATGACAAGGAGAAAAATAAAGCAGGGATATGGGCTGGGTGCATGAGAATGTTGCAGTTTTATCAGAGAAATCCTTGCTACGGAAAGGGTATTTTAATGAAGTTTTGAAGGAACTGAGGACGTGAGCCATGCACACACCTAGGGGAAGAGGCAGCTGGAACAGCAAATGCAAAAGTCCTAGGTCAGAATTACACCGGTAGGCTCACAGAATAGCAGGGGGACAGTGTGGCTGGACAGAAGCGAGCAGGGAGAGTGGTGGGAGGTGGACAGGGTTGTATTGAAGCACAGCAGCAGACTGCAAGGGGTTAACTCTGAAGACCAAATTATTTTCTGTCTTGACATTTGTTGAAACCATGTGTTTTCAATATGAAGATCTTTTGAATGCAATGAAGAAAATTTTTTCAGGTAATAATGGATTTTTATACAATTTTTGTTAAGTTGATTTTGACCCATAGCAACCCTATGTAAGATTTCCAAGAAGCATCTGGTGAGTTTGAACCAATGACCTTATGGTTCAAACTGACCTTGTGGTCGAGTGCTTATCCGCTTCGCCACACTAGGATAAATATTTCATGAGCTGTCTCTGGTATTAGTGTAATAAAGTCATTTTTTTCAGATTCACACAGTAATACAGCTTCCTCCCTCCTCAACCCACTTCCCTCACATATCAGATGCCAACATGTAATAAAAATGAGTTAGGTGCTTCCTGAGAAGAAAATTGGTGGGCACGCATACATAGGGAAGGTACTGAAAGTGTATTTTAGACAAAACTCAAAGGATGGTGCTAATGGTACCCAGAAACCATGCCATAAAGTAGTGGTGCCCAGAAATCAAGCACTCAAGCACACTCAACAGAACACAACCATCATC